AAAAAAATAAATTCAATGCTATGAAGATAACAGAGCAAAGCACTGAGGAATGAGGGAAAAGTGGGGTGCAACATTAGACAGGGTGAGCAGTTGGAGACTCCTTAAATTCTCAAAACATGTACCTAAGTCATTTATGCTGAGAGATTCATAAATAATAAGTTGATTTTTGAAAAAGAGAGCCCCATATGTTCAATAATCAGTAGACTACTGATTTCTCCTAGTCTAACTATTTGTAATTTCCCCAATGGTAGATAGAACTTTGCTTCATTTCTTGATTCTAACAATTGGAAAACATGTTTCTTTAGAAGACCATGAAATTTTACTAAAATGTTTATGTTGTTAGAAATATACTTGGACATCTTACAGTGCTTTTTAGAGGAAAATTTTGTAAGAACAAAACTTATACAGAGATTCTTGCTGTCTAAGTAATCCAGTGCTCCTTGAAGCAGCATGATAAATGTCTGTTCTACTACTATGCATTAAAACTCATTGATTGACTACTCAAGATTTCTCTTATTTTTCATAATTCTTGCTAGTTAAAGTAGCTTCTTCCAAATTCCAGTTCTAACGAAAACGCCAATTAGAAATGAGGGAGAGACTGTTCTAAACAAATCAGTAGATGCTAGAAAGGAGTAACAACTTGAAACCTGACCCAGAACGTAAAAAGAGAAAATTAATCATCAACAGACACAGCCATTTTCAAAAGCAAAGCAATCTGAATCCATTTGGAGTTTTTTATAATGGCCTGACTACGTTTCAATTCACTGTGATAGGGCTATTGTTATCACAGAGATTGATGATCAGTATCAATAAGTAATCAGTGGAAGGTTTCACCTATTTAAGATTATTAGCACACATATATGCATTTGAGAAATATTTCCCAAGAACGTAGGCTCCTTCCTCAGCACTGCGTCCCCAGGATCCTGATGAGTGGCTGACACAGGACAAGTGCTCAATTAATAAATATTGACTAAATGAATGAGAAACCCATCAAAATGGTTATTTTTCTTCTTCAGATGTTTTGCTACTTCATTAAAGTTGTAACGTTTCTATTGTCCAGGAACCGTTACTATCTGGAAGATTCAGGATAGAAAAATCTCTTTTGTACTTTCCAATACACTTTCATTGACATCTCATTTAATCCAACTCTTCAAAGTCCTAATGTCCACTGTCACCTCCTTAGCATATTTTCAGCAACAACAATCATAGCACCCTGTAATTGCAGAATACCTCTGGGGAAACTCCTGAATGACACTTAGGGCTTTTGTCTTTTTTCCAGAAATCTTTTGTCCAAGTCCTCCAGTTATTCCTAATGGGAGACACACAGGAAAACCTCTGGAAGTCTTTCCCTTTGGAAAAGCTGTAACTTACACATGTGACCCCCACCCAGACAGAGGGATGACCTTCGACCTCATTGGGGAGAGCACCATCCGCTGCACAAGTGACCCTCAAGGGAATGGGGTTTGGAGCAGCCCTGCCCCTCGCTGTGGAATTCTGGGTTAGTGCTCATTTCCCCACATCCCAAATGGGTTCAGAATATCTAACACAGGCCCTCCATATTTCCATAATTATAGTATGGTTTCTCTGTGTGCATTTGCCACAATGGAATGCCCAACCAATGATAAATGGTTCTAAGGTAGGTCAACATATCAGATCCTGATGACCTTTGCAGCTGGAGGGACTGATGAAAAAACAGGGAGGTTGTGAGTGGTGGGAAAGTCCTTCATTAGAATCATATGAATTAAAAACAAATGCCGTGAATCCCCTTATTGCAACGGTTAGCTGAGAAATCTGACCTAGAAAATCAGTGTCTCCTCCTACCAGGAAATGTCTTGAGTTCCTGCCCATGCTTTTCGACCTCTCATTGGAGTTTTGATGCCCTGAAATACAAGGAAACCAGACACGAAAGGTGGAAGCTGGGCAGAAACACTCTTTCTGGCTTCCTAAAAATGTGAAAAATTAAATCAGAGCTATATTTGCATTAAATTAGATGAGCATTAGCTGAGCGTGGTGGCAATTGCCTGTGTTCCCAGCTATTCGGGAGGCTGAGATGGGAGGATCACTTAAGCCTGGGAGGCAGAGGTTGCCGTGAGCTGAGACTGTGCCACTGCACTCCAGCCTGGGTGACAGAGTGAGACCCTATCTCAAAAACAATGAAAATAGGCTGGCCACAGTGGCTCACACCTGTAATCGCAGCACTTTGGGAGGCCAAGGCGGGTGGATCACTGGAGGTCAGGAGTTCCAGACCAGCCTGCAAACATGATGAACCTCCAACTCTACTAAAACTAGAAAAAAAAAGTAAAAATTAAAATATATAAATTATATGAGTAGAAAGACCCGATAACAGATTAGTCTTCCAGATAATATACTTCCTTATAAGCCTATGCTAATGGAACTTTCCCTTCTATTTTACAGGGAAGTTTCTTCTTGTTGTTGTTGTTGTTTTTGTTTTTTCAAAACTAAAAGTTTCTTTTCTTCTGGCATCAAATCTACCAAGGAAGAGAAAAGAGGAAACATATTGGGTATCTTTTTATTAACTCAGATATTCTTGATTTCTTGGTCTCTAGGTCACTGTAAAGCCCCGGATCATTTTCCGTTTGCTAAGTTGAAAACCCAAACCAATGCATCTGACTTTCCCATTGGGACATCTTTAAAGTACGAATGCCATCCTGAGTACTACGGGAGGCCGTTCTCTATCACATGTCTAGATAACCTGGTGTGGTCGAGTCCCAAAGATGTCTGTAAACGTGAGTGAACTTGCATTGGATCTTTCTCATGTCTGCAAAAGCTTCTTATTGAATGTTTTCAAATGTGGGATATGAGAAACCTTTTTTGAAAAGTGTTCAGATAGGTGGATGTAAGAGCTTTTCTTGTAGGTCATCCTTGATTATTGCTTGAAATGCTCACTTCATGAGACTGTTTCAAGAAACAGTTGTAGAGAAAACCTTTATTCCCTATGGGAAGAAAAATAATAAGTGACTAGATCAGGGGAAAAAAATGGTGTAAGAAGACAAATTCTGTTTGAATAACAAGGTGGGAAGAAATCCTTTGCAAACTTTGAAATATATTGGTAGTAACTACTGCAATAAGTGACTTTTACATTCTGATAAGGGATGCAAGGTCTCTAGACAGATCTAAATCTAGATCTAGATAGATCTGGAGGGAAAGTCTTTTTCAAAGTGGGGCTTAGTAGGTGGCTGATCCTGAGGCGCTCTGATTAGTTTTATCAAGGTGGCAAAATCTGTGGAACCATCAGAACTGCGTATTTTCTTCAGCAAGCTACATGTTGATGGAGACCTTACTTACTGAAGAGAGTCCTGATTACTCTACCTGGCTCCAAAATACTTTCTTTCCCATAGGTAAATCATGTAAAACTCCTCCAGATCCAGTGAATGGCATGGTGCACGTGATCACAGACATCCAGGTTGGATCCAGAATCAACTATTCTTGTACTACAGGGTGAGTTGGCAGCAACATCTCTTGGTTTAAGAGTCCAGCACAGCAATACTACCTTCTAGCCACATCTCAGGAAGGAAACTAGGCTACTGCCACCTGCTCTTAAGAGGTTTGAACACAGGTGTTAACTCCTGATTGAAATGAACAACGATAGGAGAAGATTAGGGGAATATCTGTATCCTTGCTGGAAACCAGGGCAATGCACATATAAAGAGTATGCCGTTCACTGGATGGGAAGGAAAAATAATTAGAAGTGTAGTAGTCAAAGCCCACAAACTACCCTAACCCAGAGTAGACACTGCTGGAAAAAAGGGAAGGGCATGTAGTGGCTGTGTGAGAGAACAAATCTTAATGATAACAGCATGATCACTTGCTTGGGCTGCCCTCAGAAAGTACAGTCCTTCCTCATTTTAATGTACTTTGCAGATGTTATGCTTTTTATAAATTGAAGGCTTGTGGCAACGCTACGATAAGTATGTCAGTCGCATCATTTATCCAACAGCGTGTGTTCACTTTGTGTCTCTGTGTAGCATTTTGATTATTCTCACAATATCCCAGATGTTTTCATTATTATCATGTCTGTGATAGTATGTGTCATCAGTGATCTTTCATGTGACTATTGTCATTGTTTGGGGTCCCTACAAACTGCACCCATATGAGACAGAAAACTTAATCAATAAATGTGCGTGCTTTTACTGCTCCATGGACTAGACATTCTACTTCTCTCTCCCTCTCTTCAGGACTCCCTAATCCCTGAGACACAATAATACTACAATTAGGCCACTTAATAGCCCTACACTGGCCTTTAAGTGTTGACATGAAGGGAGGAGTCATGCATCTCTTACTTGAAGTCAAAAGCTAGGGATGATTAAGCTTACTGAGGATGATATGTTGAAAACCAAGATAGGCCAAAGCCATTCATCGTGTGCCAAACAGCTAGAGAGTTGTAAAGGCAAAGCAAAAGTACTTGAAGGAAATATAAAGTGCTATTGCAGTGAACACATGAATAACAAAACGTGAAACAGCCTTATTGCTGATAGGGAAGAAGTTTTAATGCTCTAGATACAAGATCAAACTAGAAATGTTTCCTGAAGCCAAAGCCTAATCCTGAGCAAGGCCCTAACTCTTCAGTTCTGTGAAGGCTGCCAGAGGTGAGGAAGCTGCAGAATAAAAGCTGGAAGCTAGCAGAATTTGGTCCCTGAGGTTTAAGGAAAGAAGCCCTCTCCATAACATAAAGATCCAAGGTGAAGCAGCAAGTGCTCATGTAGAAGCTGCAGCAAGTTATCTAGAAGACCTAGCTAAGATCATGGATGAAGGTGTTACACTAAATAACAGATTTTCCATGTAGACAAAACAGCCATCTGTTGGACTTCCATAGTTAGAGAGGAGAAGCCAATGCCTGGGTTCAAAGCTTAAAAGGATAGGCTGATTTTTAGGAGCTAATGCCACTGGTGACTTTGAGTTGAAGCCAATGCTCACTGACCATTCTAAAAACTCTCAGGCCCTTAAGAATTATGCTAAATGTACCTTGCCTGTGTCTATAAATGGAACAACAAAGCCTGATGACAGAAGTATGTTTGCAGCATGGTTTACTGAATATTTTAAGTCCACTGTTGCGATCTAGTGCTCAGAAAAATAGATTTCTTTCAAAATATTACCGCTTATTGACATTATACCTAAATAACCAAGAGCTGTAATGGAGATGGACACAGAGATGAATGGAGTGTTCCTACCTGCTGACCACAGCAGCCATTGTGCAGACCATGACTGAAGGAGTAATTTTGACTTTCAAGTTTCATTATTTAAGAAATACATTTTGTAAGGCCAGTTCCCAGACAGTAATTCCTCTGATGGATCTGAACAAAGTAAGTTGAAAACTGCTGGAAAGAATTCATCATTCTACATATCATTAAGAACATTCATGATTCATGGGAAGAGGTTAAAATATCAACATTAACAGGAGTTTGGTAGAAGTTAATTCCAACCCTCATGGCTGACTTTGAGAGGTTCAAGACTTCAGTGGAGGAAATAACTGCAGATGTGGTAGAAATAGCAAGAGAACTACAGTTAGAAGTGGAGCCTGAAGATGTGACTGAATTGCTACAATCTTATGATCAAACTTGAACAGATGAGGAGTTGCTTCTTGTGAATGGGCAGAGAAAGTGATTTTTTTGAGGTGGAGTCTCTTCCTGGTGAAGATGATATGAGCATTGTGAAAATGACCACAAAGGATTTAGAATATTACATAAACTCAGTTGATAAAGCAGCAGCAGTATCTGGGAGGATTGACTCCAATTTTGAAAGCAGTTCAGAGGGTAAAATGTTATCAAATAGCATTGCATGCTAGAAAAATCTTTTGTGAAAGAGTCAATCAATACAGCAATTTTATTGTTGTCTCAGCTTAAGAAATAGCCACAGCCACCCCAGCCTTCAGCAACCACCGCCCTGAGCAGTCAGCAGCCATCAACCTTGAGGCAAGACCCTCCACCAGCAAAAAGATTACGACTGATTGAAGGTCAGATAATCTTTAGCATTTTTTATCAATAAACCATTTTTTTAAGTATGACTTTTTTCAGATATAATTCTATTTCACACTTAATAGATTGCCGTATAGTACAAACACAACTTTTAGACTCACTGAGAAATCAAAAAATTCATATGACTCATCTGTTGTGATATTTGCTTTATTGTGGTGTTCTGGAACTGAACCTGCAATATCCTTGAGGAATGTCTGTAACACAAAATGGGCGGCTTAATACAACAGAAGTTTTTGGAGTTCTATTCTAGAGGATGGAGGTCCAAAATCAAGGTGTTGGCAGGGCCATGCTCCCTCTGAATCCTGTAGGGTAGAATCCTTCATTGCGTCTTCCAGCTTCTGGAGCCCCAGGCTTTCCTTGGCGTGTGGCAGTGGAACTCCAATTTGTTCTGTCCCGCTCCTCGCATGGCCATCTTCCCTCTGGGTCTGTGTCCTCATATGCTGTTCTCCTCTCTGTGCATGTTTCTGTTCAAAGTTTTCCCTTTTTATGACACCTGTCACATTGGATTAGGGCCTACCTTAATGACCTCATCTTAACTTGATTGCATCTGCAAAGATTGTATTTCCAAATAAGATCACATCCACAGAGACTGGGGGTTAAGACTTCAACATATCTGGGGGAGACACTTCAACCTACAACAGAGCCCCTTTGAAAATGTCAAGCGTCAGGTGCTCACAGCGCACGGCCCAGCTGTTGGTGCTCAGCCTTGCTCAGCACACAGTGGAGGCTCTGCCTCAATCTCACTCTTCACTGGAACAGCTAAGCCAGGTAGTGAATAAGGGCTACATTTGTGCCACCGCAACCAATACTGAAAGGAGAATTGTGGTGTCCAGCACATATTCCAGCCTAGACCTCACAGACCATAGCACCTAGAATCTAACAAAGTAAAATTAGAATAAATCCAATATCTCCTTTACTTTATTTTTTGAGCGTTTTAAAATACAATTGATAAGTTTCTTGACTGTACCCTCCTCATCTTGCATTGCTGAATAAGGGGTGAACCTCTCTAAGGCATACAGCAGAAAACCATTGAGCTTATGACTAGAAACAGGAAATACATGTAAAAGAGACCAGTCTGAAAAATCAGGAGAAATTTTACAAAAGAGATTTACTGCCAAGAAACCAGGCAAACTTTCAGAACACTCTCCTTTTCATATTGGTAACAAGATTCAATTGTACAAATACTTCTGTGAAACTAGCCATGAAGTTTGTATGTGAATGAATATATGTATTCCATGTGTTTATATATTTCATTTCATACATGTGATATATATATACATAAATATATATATATCTAGATCTCACAATGAATATTGCAGAAAATTAAAGCAAAGAGTAAGAGGAGTTAACCAAATTTTCCCTGAATGCAGCGGGGAAAGCTGAAAAGGAGAAGACAGGCAGGCACAGTGGCTCACACCTGTAATCCCAATACATTGAGAGGCTGAGACAAGAGAACCACTTGAGCCCAGGAGCTCGAGACCAGCCTGGGCAACATGGCAAAACCCCATCTCTACAAAAAAGTATAAAAATTAGCTGGGTGTGGTGGTGTGTGCCTGTAGTCACAACTAGGGAGGAGACTGAGATGGGAGGATCACCTGAGGCCAGGAGGCTGAGGCTTCAGTGAGCCATGATGGCACCCCTGCATTCCAGCCTGGATGACAGAATGAGATCCTGTCTCCAAAAAGGAAAGACATATGTAACACAGTGTCAGGATTCAAAATACATGTAACAAAAATTCTAGAAGGGTAAACAAATAAGCCCATACCTAGCCATCACTAGGGAAACTTCTGTGTTTCAGGGATAGAGAAAAAAACTCAGATTCCAGAAATAAAATGTGAAAATATAATACCCGCAAAAGAAGTAAATTTATTGGCACCACATTGATTCTATACAACACGAAATGGTATAAGGTAGCATTTCTATTGCACCAAGCTAATATTCACACCTAGAGGCTCCAGACACACATTAAAGGATAAGCAAAGACACAAAAATTGTACCATTTAAGTATGCTTCCCAGGCAATTCATGAGCAAATTTTTAAAAAGGAGAATGATGAATTCCAAAAGAAATTTCAATAAGATAGGATATTGGTAAAAAGAAAAAACAACAATAAAAAAAAAAGTACACATAAAAATTTGGCAATGTAATCATAATTTATTAATAATCTCTCTAAACTCATAGAACATATCAATAAAACTAGAAAATGTGAGACAGTAACAAAAGGTAGGCTAGACTTACATTACAGAAAAGATGAGTAGACTGACTATATAGAGTTTCACTCTAAAATTGAGAAAATAGATTTAAATATCTGTTGTGTGCATATTTATAATATACATGCACACGTATAAAATGAAATTCCTCATTGGAAAACATATGAAGTTTAATTTCCAAATTATTAGAATGACTAAAACAGCTGAATTTATCTCTTCCATATAGCAAGTGAGAGGGAAGGAAAAGGCAAGGAATGCATTTATCTCCTCCACCAGAAATAAGCCCCCTCATGTTTGGGTCAGGTCATTTTATTCATTGCTTTCTCCACATCCTCATCATTGGGCATCATGAAATCAGTGAAAAAGGCAGTGAAAGAACGATGATGAAAGCAAATCAAATGTATCATTTATCTCAATACATGTGGTTTAATCTTCTTGTTGAAAGACAAAGTCTCCTAGACAAGATCAACAGCAACAAATCTTGTATTTATAAAAAACATGTCTCAAGTAAGATGACATAGTATTATGCACACACACACACACACACAAATTACGGGAAAATGCAAACAAAAAATGGCAGAAATAGTATTTAAAGAAAATAGAATTTATGAAAAAAAATTGTCAAACAGGTCTACAAAATAATTGTTTTATTTTGGCGCCAGGTACAGTCCACAATGAAGCCAAGATATGAAGAAGCAAATGGGCCAGGAGAAGTTAGAGCAAAAATATCTCTTTCAATGAGAGAATAGGAAAAAGAAGTAGAAAAGCTGGGAACAACAGGTAAAGTTTAGGCTAGGCCTTAGACTTCTCCTACATTGTAATCCTTTTGGTTTGCCACATATGCATGCTGTGAGGACGTTGATGAGGCATGTACAGCACAATTATTTTCCACTGTTTGCCTTTAGGCACCGACTCATTGGTCACTCATCTGCTGAATGTATCATCTCAGGCAATACAGCCTATTGGAGCACAAAGCCGCCAATTTGTCAGCGTGAGTTGAAGTCTCTTTCCCCATTCACCCTACTGTTTAATCCTAGAGTTGTCCTCCTAGAATCACAAAGAATGAATCTCATCCCTCTTGGAAATGGTATCCTTCTGATATTTGAAGAATCCAGTCATATCCTTAGAATGGCTCACAGCATCCCAAACTTCCACCTTCACCTAGAAATGCGTTTTTGTTTTTTTCTTATCTCAAGGTCTAATTTATTTTAAACTCGTCTTGAGCTCATTTAAACAGCCCCCAATTTCCTCCTCTGTTGGTTTAACACCTGCAGTTTGAAGAGCATTTTCTTCACTAAAGTCAACAAATACAAAGTCAGTGAAATAACCCCTATATCCTCTCTGCAAGCTCTTAGTATCACATCGGATATTCAAGCCATGCAGCTCTTTCTTCCTTATTCGTTGTCTAAACAGGATCACGCCGTCTTCCCTGTGAGTTGTTTGGAAGATGAGCTTTCTACATTTTGGGGAGCAAAGGGAATGAGCAATTGCAAGCTAAAAAGGAATATAAAATGTACATAATCCTGGGTTTTGGGACGATGTGAGGAAATCAGCAATTTCAAACCCAGTTGGTGGGAGGATAAGTAGAAACCAACTTTATAGAAGGTCAACATACTGGCTGGGCACTGCTCCACAGTAGAGTAGGACACAGTATTCAGTTCTTCCACGATCAGACGAGATTGGGTGCATTCAGGGTGGTATGGCTGTAGATCAGTATCCAGTTATTTTTATTACTTCTGAATCTGTAAGTATCTTGTTTATTCTATGTAATGTTGTATATTTGTGCTTTGTCTTTATTAGTTCTGCCAGAGTTTTTGGTCTTACTATTTAATAAAGATGCTATACTGAGCCATGTGTGGTGACTCAAACTTGTAATCCCAGCACTTTGGGAGGACTAGGTGAGCAGATAGTTTGAGCCCAGGAGTTCGAGACCAGCTTGTACAACATGATGAAACCCTGTCTCTCCAAAAGATACAAAAACCAAACGGGCATGGTGGCATACGCCTATAGTCCCAACTACTCGGGAGACTGAGACGTGGGAGGATTGCTTGAGCCAGAGAGGTTGAGGCTGCAGTGAGCCATGATCAGGCCACTGCACTCCAGCCTGGGCAGCAGAGCAAGACCCTGTCTCAAAAAAAATGCTATGCTATATGCTTTATTATATTAATATCCAATACCACAAAGGCAAATGCCTTCTATAGAGAGAGAACTAAATTAATAATGGTGAGATAACATACTTAAATTCTCATTTAGCAGGAGAAATAAAAACATAGACTATAGGCTAGGCGCAGTGGCCCATGCCTGTAATCCCAGTACATTGGGAGGCTGAGGCGGGCAGATCATTTGAGGTCAGGAGCTCTAGACCAGCCTGGTCAATATGGTGAAACTCCATCTCTACTAAAAATCCAAAAGTTAGCCATGTGTGATGCTGCATGCCTCTAATCCCAGCTACTCAGGAAGCTGAGGCAGGAAACTCGCTTCAACTTGGGAGATGGGGGTTGCAGTGAGCCGAGATCATGCTACTGCACTCCAGCCTGGGGAAAAGAGTGAGAAAAAAAAAAACAAGAAATAAAAAGTGGGCTCTAATAATATGAAGACACATTTAGTGAAATAAAGCTAACTGAGTAGAGCAGAACTCATAATATTTTACAACTGTAAGAACATGTCTGTACATTAGCAAATATTAGATGAGAATAATATTGTCAATATTTACTTCTGGTAATTTGGAATTTAAAAAAAACTGTTAGCAAAATTTACTATAAAGTGTAATTATTAGAAACCAGGCTGGATGCGGTAGCTCACGCTTATAATCCCAGCACTTTGAAAGTCCAAGGCAAGCAGATTGTTTGAGGCCAGGAGTTCAAGACTAACCTGTCCAACGTGGCCAAATCCCATCTCTACTAAAAATAGAAAAATAAACCAGACACAGTGGTGCATGCCTGTGACCCCAGCTACTCGGGAGGTTGAGGTGGGAGGATTGCTGGACCTGGGAAGTGGAGGCTGCAGCGAGCCGAGATGGTGCCACTGCACTCCAGCTTGGGTGACAGCAAGACTCTGTCCCAAGGTTTTGTTTTGGTTAACTTGCTGTCTCCTTTTCCAGGAATTCCTTGTGGGCTACCCCCAGCCATCGCTAATGGAGATTTCATTAGCACCAACAGAGAGTATTTTCACTACGGATCTGTGGTGACCTACCGCTGCAATCTTGGAAGCGGAAGGAAAAAGCTGTTTGAGCTCGTGGGTGAGCCTTCCATATACTGCACCAGCAAAGATGACCAAGTGGGCATCTGGAGCGGCCCGGCCCCTCAGTGCATTATACCTAACAAATGTATGCCTCCAAATGTGGAAAATGGAATATTGGTATCTGTCAACAGAAGCTTATTTTCCTTAAATGAAGTTGTGGAGTTTAGGTGTCAGCCTGGCTTTGTCATGAAAGGACCCCGCCGTGTGCAATGCCAGGCCCTGAACAAATGGGAGCCAGAGTTACCAAGCTGCTCCAGGGGTGAGTCTGACTGAGGCCTAGAAGGTCCCTGCAAATAACATGCATTGCTGTTGGATCAGGAGATCAGTATTTGTTCAGGGGCAGGGATGTGTGGTGAGGAGGGTGGGAAAGTAAGTTTTGGGGGAAGAAGCATGAAATTAAGAATCGGGGGTGTGCATGCACCCATGCATATGTGTCTTCATTTTGAAAAGCAAGACCTTAATTAGCCAAGAAAAAAGCTATTTTGGACTGACTTATTAATCAATTCTCAGGGCAAAGTAACAGCTGCAATCTCTCTCAATTATATTGAAAAATTATATGGACTTTATGGTCAACTGTGCACTAAGCACTTTATATGCATTTTCTCATTCATTATTTACAGCAACAGTTTGAAATTGTGCTGTTGTATTATCCATTTAATAGTGACATCAGCTTGGTCTTTCAGAGGTTAAACAAATTAGCCAAGTCACATGTTCTAAGTGAGACACCCAAGATTTTAAAAGGCAGGTGTGTTAGACCCCAGAGTCTGAATGTTTTGTCTCTTGCCATGCTTCTATTAGCATCCATTGGTGAAAGATAGAGACTGGCTTACAAAGACAGAAATCATAGCCTCATAATAGAGACAAAGACCTTAGAGTTTGTCTATAATGGTCTGCCTCCTACATTTTATTTTTTATTTATTTTATTTAAAAACTATTTACTAGAGTTGAGGTCCCACTCTGTTGCCTAGGCTGAAGTACAGTGATACAATCATGGCTCACTGCAGCCTCAAACTCCTAGGCTCAAGCCATCCACATCCTACATTTTATCCCTAGGAGTCTAAGTCAAGAGTGAAAGTAACTTGTTCAAAGCCAGTTAAATATTTCTAAATTCATCTTTAATGAAGTATAGATTAGGTTGATGTTAAAATGGGTTCTGATGCCCTAAGCATGAATGAACATGACTATAAATAAAGGCAGATGTTGAGTCAAATACTCTCCAAATAATATGCTCTCTGGTGACAAAGGACTGGTTTATTTAAGGGCTTATGTTTTTGATGGCTCATCTTGTCTACTGATGCCACAACAGCTGGCTTAGCAGCTGAATGGGAGGTGTTATGGCTGATACGTAGGGACAGAGAAAGAGCTTACCATTCTTCTACCAACCCATGTTAGCCTTGTGCAACCACTGAGCTGGGAAGACGAACAGATAAAGGGATATAAAGATGGATGTGTTGAGGCAGGAGATGGGCAGGGCTTGTGTTCTGGTCACAATCCTACTGACCAAAACAGGCTCTGGCCCAGACAGGATGAAGTGAAAAAACAGCAGGAACCAGCAGATGGCGATGAAAGCAATTGCTAGCTGCCCTCATAGTCCCATCAGCACCACGACAGTTTACAAATGCCATGGCAACGACCTAGAAGTTACCGCCCTTTTCCTGGAAAGTTCTAAATAACTCGCCCCTCAATCTACATTGATCCATTCCTTAATTTACATGTAACTGAAACGGGTTTACAGGAGTATAAATACAGTTGCCTGCCAGCAGCCCTTATGTTGCTGACTCTGAGTGCACTGTCTGTGAGTTAGCCCTGCTCTGCAAGTGGCAGTGCCCTTCACTAAAAGATTGCTGTCTGGCACCACTGGCTTATCCCTGAATTCTTTCCTGGGTGAGGCAAGAACCCTTCCAGAGTAAGCCCCGATTTGGGGGCTTGCCTGTCCAGAAACAGTATGACTGTACTTTAGTCATTGGTGTGCAATCAGAGAAATTGGGGGAAATCTGTAGAACAGACTTGGTCTCAGGTGACAGTCTCATTACCTGACTAACAATGGTACAAATCGGGATTACCTTCCTAGGAAATATGTGGATGGAGAATCCACCAATACTAATAACTCCACATTGGATAGCCAGAGCTAGGAGAAAATACCTCATGCCCTGTAGATTTACAAGTGAATTTGGGGCCTTGTGCTAGGGAGAATTGGGTTCTATTTCTCTATGTCTGACTAGCTATGAGGCCTTCAGGAAGCATAGGAAATTCCCCCGTAAGTAACAAGTGCTCTGGAACTGTCCTTTCCACAGTGTGTCAGCCACCTCCAGAAATCCTGCATGGTGAGCATACCCCAAGTCATCAGGACAAATTTTCACCTGGGCAGGAAGTGTTCTACAGCTGTGAGCCCGGCTATGACCTCAGAGGGGCTGCGTCTCTGCACTGCACGCCCCAGGGAGACTGGAGCCCTGAAGCCCCCAGATGTGCAGGTGCCTCAACTCTCTAGCTTCCAGATTGCTCTCTTTACCCCGCACATGGAGGTCTTACTCCTATTTTTTCTTTTTTTCTTCTTCTAGTGAAATCCTGTGATGACTTCTTGGGTCAACTCCATCATGGCCGTGTGCTAGTTCCATTCAATCTCCAGCTTGGGGCAAAGGTGTCCTTTGTCTGTGATGAAGGGTGAGTGTGACCCAGAATTAAGATCAAGGACTTAGCACTGGAGAGTGACTCTTGAGCTCAAGGATCAATCCAAAAAGAGGGCTGACCTAGGAAAAGAAGAACCCAGGGAGATTAACTTCTGGAAGTGTAGTTTTAAAATAAGGGTATGGACTAAGTGACACTACTATCAAGAGATAAAGAGATGAAGAAAAAATGGCACATATAACTCAGTGTCAAGTATAAACAGAAATACAATCACCAGTCCAGAAAAGGGGACTGGCCTAGTGGAAAAGAAGTACTAGAGGAGACTAATATCTGAAACAATGATTGGAAAGTGTGGTATGAACCAGCTGGATCCATGAACAGAAGTTTAAAAAGCAAAAAGCTCAACTCATTTGATTTCTCACTTATAGAGGCTCAGAAGTAAAATCATTTTGGAAAATGTGCAGCTTCCAGTAAGGGACAAAGAAAAAACAATGGCAAGAATACAACAGATCTTGAAAAAAAAAGTATATATATACACATACGGAACATTAGATGTATGAATAAACAATAATTTGCAGACATGAAGAGATAAATAACTATTCTAGGGGTTTGTTAAGAAAAGTTTGATATATAAGAGAAAGTTGTGTATAAGATAAAATAGCATGCAAAGAGTATTTCAAAAAACTTTTAAACAAATAAATAGTGGAATTTGGAATAGGAATGAAAGAGTAAGTAGAAATATTCTAAAATCCAATTATGTATGATTGACAACTTCGCCAGCTGTTATTGCTTTTGTCCTCACTGAAAGCTACACTTTTTCCAAAAAGATTTTGCTTCTGAGCCCCTGTCAATGAGAAACTAAGTGAGTTGAGCATTTTCACCTGTGCTTTAGCTTGAGCAGTAAAATGTTAATTAACTTAGGAATTCTCAGGGAGGAGGTTGAGATCTGTCAATGAAGGGAAGAGAGAAATGGTGCATTCACCCAGCCACTACTGCTTTGTTCTTTAGGTTTCGCTTAAAGGGCAGTTCCGTTAGTCATTGTGTCTTGGTTGGAATGAGAAGCCTTTGGAATAACAGTGTTCCTGTGTGTGAACGTGAGTAGATGGAATACTTGTTCAGTCTGGATCTTTCTCTTTGTTTTTTTTCTTAATGTGGTTTGCCCCATGGGATTATCTACTGTTGGTCCCACTGTTTATGCCTACTTTTGATAGAAATAGTTCTTTGTTGGAATAGATACAAGCAACGTTTTGGGGAAAAATAAACCTGAGAATCATGTGTTTTGGTACCCTCCTATAAATATTTATGAGGAGAGTCTGTGCTATAAATAGAGAGAAATGCTTCATAGAAATAAATGTATGGTAAGATGCTGGGCTAAATTTTTCTCTTCTTTCCTGTCAAAAGTAATAGTCATACTTCAACTTTTCAGTTCTTCCCTCAATCATCCATTTAGTCACATACTCATTCTTTCAACAGAAAATTATTTGAGTACCTACTATGTGCCAAGCAATCTTCTGGGAACTGGGAATATACCTATAAATAAGACAGATAAGTCCATGTTTAGATTTTTGTGCAAGGATAAAGATAAAAATCAAAGACATGAATAGAAATGTTCAAATGATACTAAGTGTTATTAAGAAAATGCTCTTAATTGAGTCAGTGCTCTCAATTGAGAAAGTAGCTGAGGGCCCAAAAGGCAATTGTAGTCAAGCAAACCTCTGGGTGTACCTGAGGGTTCACGCTGGGAGGCTGCTGCAGCAATCTCATCAGAGATGTTGGCCCAGGATAGCAATTGGGAAAGATGATGATGAGAAGTGATCAAATTCTGGATATATTTTGAAGGTACAGATGACAGAATTTGGTGATGGTGCTTAGATAGAGGGTGTGAAAGAAAGAGAAGAATCATAAACAGTTTCTAGGTTTTTGGCCAGAGCAACCGCCAGGGTAGAATTTGCCTTAGCTGAAATGCAGGGGACTGCGTGAAGTTTGGGACGGGGGAAATCAAAAGTTACTCTTGGGACATAATTTTAGTGTTCCTCTTAGATATCCAGATGGATATGTTAGAGAGTCCCAGGCTGCCCATAGATATGTAGAAGCCCTCATTGTATCTGCTATGCTTGAAATCAGGACTGAAAGAGATCTTCACCTAGGGAGTGAGTGCTGCTAAAGAACAGATGCATGGATTGAGCCTGGATGTCCAGGATTAAGAGTTGAAAAGGTGAGAAGGAATCAGCAAAGGGGATTATAATGAAGCAGCCACTGCAATAAGAGAAAACACAGGAGGGTGAGGTGCCCTGGAAGCCAAGGGTGTAAATTCCTTTAAAGGACTAGATTAATCAACTGTGTCAAATTCCATAGAGAGGTCAAATTAGGTGAGAACAGAAAATTGATCTTTGGGTTTAGCAACTTGGAGGTAACAAGTGGCAGTTTCAATGGAGTACTGGCAAACACTGATTGGAATGAATTCTAGGGAGAATAAACAGAGGAACTGTAACAGATCATAAACAGTATTTTAGAGGAGTTTTCATGTAAAGAGAGTAGAAATAGGACTATAGCTGGAGAGGGAAATGGCAGCAAGGGGGTTGCTTTTGATTTTTAAGAGGGCAGAAAATAGTGTGTTAAAACCAGAAACACTACTATGTCCAATCTATCCATTTACTTCTTCACTAAATTAATCAGGATATTGGTTCCCCCCTTCTGATCATAGCTATTAAAAATACATGTTTACAATAGAATTTCGCTCAAATGAATACTTTGCCTTAAATTATTTCAATGTCTTGTACTGATTTATACGATGAAACTTGATAATTTCATCTTACATTGTTGGAAGTCAGCTATTTGAGAATCTTAACTTCCCTGGAATAGTTAAGAAGTATGAAAGAAAAGAAAGAGAAAATACCCTAATGAACCCAACATATATCTGAAATTGCTTACTAGAGTGTAAACATTGGTTAAGCTATTTTAACCTTTGATTAGTTTATCTATAATTCTTTTAAACTGTAATATCCTCTTTCCAAATTCAAAGCAAATTAGAAAGGGGAAGGATGTCCCCAAATAGAGGCATTCCAAGGAATAAATGTGTTTGTTTAGTGGGGGAAAAAAAAAAAAACCTTTAAAAACCAATGAGTATCTCAAAAAACCATAACATTCTTGAGCCTTTTGAAACATATACAGGAGTACACAGTATATTTTATTTCATTTGACAGCATTACTATAATCTTTCATCTTTATTTTGAAAATCATAATCTGGCATCATCAAGAAAAATTAAATCACTGATATACAAATAATAAATACATAATATATTTTAGAAAGATGTCTCTAGAATGAAGATTCTTGATGTCAAAGATCATATTTATCTTGTGCTTAAAACAGTACTTGACATACAGCAGATATTCAAAAAAATGCTTGTTGAATTAACGGATGATTCCCCTTTAATGTGACTATGAAGATTTTTATTTACTTTAAAGGAATATACCCTTTATTATTCAGAAATATTAACTATCTGAAAAATTTAGGATGCTTAATTTGGCAATGGCTTTTGTAATAAACATTGATTTAGTTGTCATTTCATTTAGCTCCATCTTAGCAGAGGTCTAATACATTTATTTTGCAGTTTCTACTTTCCTTAAGAAAAAAAGTATGCTTAATTGGCAACACAGTCATAGTATGACAACTGTAGAATCACCTTGGATAATAATTTAAAATTTTTTATGGAATTGAGAGCTCTTGTTTTCTTTCTAGATATCTTTTGTCCAAATCCTCCAGCTATCCTTAATGGGAGACACACAGGAGCTCTCCTTGGAGATATTCCCTATGGAAAAGAAATATCTTACACATGTGACCCCCACCCAGACAGAGGGATGACCTTCAACCTCATTGGGGAGAGCACCATCCGCTGCACAAGTGACCTTCAAGGGAATGGGGTTTGGAGCAGCCCCGCCCCTCGCTGTGAACTTTCTGTTCGTGCTGGTCAGTATCTGTTTCCACATATCCTAAATGGGTTCAGAATATCTGGACCCATCCCTCATGTTTCTGTAATAAGACTATGGTATGTTTTTGTGAGCTTAACTTTGTCATAAGTGGAAATGACAAAATTACATACCATAGCTAAAACAGATGGGTTTCAGCAGTGCCAAGGTATGTTTAAATCTATAAGATGAGAACTCTTCTTGCTGGTGGAGTGGAAGAGGGTGGGGTAATGGGACTGAGGGGAGGGGTGGAGGGAAGGTAGTAGGGCGCAGTGATGTAATTCAGGAGGAAAAATGTATTCACTGGAGAGGACATGAAAACAACTGCCTATGAACACTAACCAGTATCTGTATAATTGACAGACATTCTCCATAAGTTCATGAGGGGTACATGGGCATGCAAAGTTCAAAATTGAAAATGTGGATATTATTTAGCTAAGGTTTTAAACTAGTGTTCTGCTGCATGGGCTAAGTAACCAAAAAGACTCTCTTCGTCTTGACTTAACATTTGTCCACTTGTCAGCTTGCCTCCAGGTCGTCTCAATCTTTGTACTTGAACTGTTCCACTCAGGGTAAGAAGCAAGGAAACAGTAGCCCAAAGAAAAGAGTAGGAAAAGGAAGAGTCTGTTTCTTCCTAAGGAGGGGGAGAAGTTGCCTAGTCCTTTAGGGCAAATATTAGGTCTTTTCCAGAACAGAAGCTGTAGTAGATTAGGGATGTGGCACCAGCCTTGGAATATTCCATTATCCACAGGGAAGCCCTGAGAGAGAAGAACAAACCAAGGTGAAAAGGCTAACCCTGATGACAGGCATTTAACCTGTCTGTTACCTTTACCCTCCAACTGAGTGCTACTAATCAGAATCCAGTAAATTTTTTTAATGCAAATGCCTAGACCCCAGTGAAGTCTTAATGAATGAACAGACGGAGGAAGTCTTCTCCAAAAGGAAGGGAGTGGAGTTCAGACTGTATTTGAAAATATGCAGCACATGGCTGGGCACAGTAGCTCACACCTATAATCCCAGCGCTTTTGGAGGCCGAGGTGAGAGGATTGTTTGAGGCCAGGAGTTCAAGACCAACCTGGCCAACACAGCAAGATCCTATCTCTATAAAAAATAAAATTAAAAAATTGTAAAACAAAAAATACGCAGCACACAATATACTCTCTCAAAAAGAAGACATAGCTTCTTACAGGAGGCTGATGGCTTAGTCTGTTTTGTTCTGGTTCTTTTTTTGTTTTGTTTTGTTATTGTGTGTGTATGTACCTTTTTTTGAGACAGAGGGTCTTGCTCTTTTGCCTAGGCTAGAGTAGAGTGGTGCAATTATAGTTTACTGCAGCCTCAACCTCCCTGGCTCAAGCAAGCCTCCCATCTCAGCCTCCCAAATAGCTGGGACCACAGGTGCATGCCACCTCGCCCAGCTAATTCTTGTATTTTATGTAGACTAGTTTTCATCATGTTGCCCAGGCTGGTCTTGAACTCCTGGGCTAAAGCAATCCACCTGCCTTGGCCTCCCAAAGTGGTGGGACTACAAGGCATGAGCCACCATGCCCAGCCTATTTTGTTTTATCTTTAAATGTGTGGTTTAGCATCAGAAGAACAACGCTGTATTAGTTTCCTAGGGCTGCTGTAACAAATTACCACAAACTAGGTGGCTTAAAACAGAAGAAACTTATTATTTCACAGTTTTGTAGGCTAGAAGTCTGAAATTGAGATGTTGGCAGGGGTATTTTCCCATCTTCTAAGGCTCTAGAAAATAACCAATTCCTTACTTCTTTCAGCTCCTGCTGGTTCCTGGAATTCCTTGGTATTCCTTGGTTTGTGGATGCATCATTCCAATCCCTGCCTCCATCATAGCCTTTTCCCCTGTGTCTCTATATTTCAAATCCCTCCACTTTTTCCCTGATAGGGACACCAGTCATTGGATTTAGGGCCCACTCTAAGTAAAAGATGATCTAATCTCAAGATGCTAACCTTAATTCTATCTGAAAAACCATTATTACAAATAAGTTTCTATTCAGAGGTTTTAAGTAGAGATATCTTTTGGGAGAACATAATTCAACTCACTACAACGGGTATCTGCTATGAAAGGCCAGAGAGTCAGTTTATGCTGGGCACCCTGAGAATGGAGTAGATGGAGAGAGATAATAAAATATGTCTTGCTACTCATGAGTGAATTAGCACAAATACATGAGCATTTGAGCAGTTAACTGAGGATATAGGCACTCCGACAGGAGGTCTGACATATGAAACTACAAGCTGGAGTTCCTGTTTTGGTGAAATAAGGGAAGAAAGATCAGAAAGCTGAGTGATCTTCCAAATAGTAAAAAAAAAAAAAAATTCCGCTGAGTAGGTGCCATTGAAAAGTTTATGCCAAGGTAATATCAAAGAGAAGAAAATCTTTTGCTATTTTTGTAAGTCTGTTTCTGTGATCCACCTATCAGCTTAATTGGAGAGAAACAGGAGGTAGGGTGGAAGTCTCTCTGCTAACTTTGATATTCCTGTGGTTTTGTTCTCCAGGTCACTGTAAAACCCCACAGCAGTTTCCATTTGCCAGTCCTACAATCCCAATTAATGACTTTGAGTTTCCAGTCGGGACATCTTTGAATTATGAATGCCATCCTGGGTATTTTGGGGGAATGTTCTCTATCTCCTGCCTAGAAAACTTGGTCTGGTCAAGTGTTGAAGACAACTGTAGACGTAAGTAACCCCTCCCTGGGAACTACTTCATGTCTCTTAAAGCATAGATGGGACCAGGCTTGGTGGCTCGCGCCTGTAATCCCAGCACTTTGGGAGGCCAAAGCTGGCAGACAGCTTGAGCTCAGGAGCTCGCAACCAGCCTGGGCAACATGGCCAAACTCCATCTGTACAAACAACAACAATAAAAACAGTGTGGGATTTGATTCAATTTGCTCAAATTTTGGAGGCAAGATGTCTATATTTGCCCAAGGTATTTTGATAAAGGGTGGTCTTGTACATCACCCCTTTTTATTGCTCAGAGTTCCTGCACCTTGGATTTCATGAGAATGGCTCTCACAAAAGAATTAGAGAGAAAATTTATATTCACTGTAGATCATCCTTGATGGCTGAAACCATGAAATGAATGAAACAGGGGTACAAAAGAAATTTATGTGGGTTACAGTGAACTGTGCTTGGCTAACTAAAAATAGGGGAGACATCCCAAATTTTGAGGCCTTTGATTTTGGCTAGTGGAATGAGAGTATAATACTTTAGCCATAAATGACTTGTTTTGTTTTGTTTTTTGTTTTGTTTCTGTTGTTGTGTTTTTTTTTGTTGTTGTTTGTTTGTTTTTTCTGAGATGGAGCCTCACTCTGTCACCCAGGCTGGAGTGTGGTGCGATCTTGGCTCACTGCAACCTCCTGGGTTCGAGCAAGTCTCCCTGCCTCAGTCTCCTGAGTAGCTGGGATTACAGGCACCCACCCCCACGCCCAGCTAATTTTTGTATTTGTTAGTAGAGATGGAGTTTTGCCACGTTGGCCAGACTTGTCTTGAACTCCTGACCTCAGGAGATCTGCCTGCCTTGGCCTCCCAAAGTGCTAGGATTACAAGCGTGAGCCCATACATAACTTTTATTGGGAGATGTAAGGTAGTCTTTTTTAAAGTGGTGTTCTGTAGCTGCATGGTTCTGAAGTTGTATGCCAAGTTTCTTCAAAGCAGTCAATTCCATTAAACAATTGGAACTGTATATGCTGTTTAGTATGCCACACTCCAGTTTGAACCTTACAAACAAAGGTAAGTTGAACTCTACACTTAATCCCAAATTCTGCTTCTTCCCCCTAGGAAAATCATGTGGAACTCCTCCAGAACCCTTCAATGGAATGGTGCATATAAACACAGATACCCAGTTTGGATCAACAGTTAATTATTCTTGTAATGAAGGGTGAGTTGAGAATACTATCTCTTGAATATGAGTTCCAGAACAGCAGAGCAACTTTGGATCCAGTCTCAGATAGACAAACTAAACTATTGCTACCTTTACTTTAAAAGCAAGCAATAGGACTTCTAGATGGAGATGATACCTTGGACATAGCATATTATCAAAGGAATACAAAAAAGAAGGAACAATATGTATTGTATTGTAAACCAGGTGAGGGCACCATGTTCCTGTCAAAGGTGGTACATGTGAAACCTGGTCAGGCATTCATTGGATGAAAAGGAGCAGCTTACAAATAAGTGAAAGGAAAAAAGGTAGTTGAACCATGCGAACCTCCTTAACTGAGATGGGTAGGTACTACCGTTGAGTTGGAGGACTCTGAAGCAGGGTTTGGGAGGGTAAATCTTAATTGTAACAGAAGCTCTGGAAGATAATGCATCAAAGTGCACACAAAGAGGAGAACACTATGGGGTTCTTGTTCTTGACTTCTCCTTGGGACAAGTAGCCACACCAGAAGCCATTGCCTCAACTGAGAAGGGGCTTTTAAAGACCCTGGAGTGGACCTCCAGCAAACTCCAGTAGACCTGCAGCAGAGGGGCCTGACTGTTAGAAGAAAAGCTAACAAACATAAAGGAAGAGCATTAACATCAACAAAAAGGACATCCACATGAAAACCCCATCCAAAGGTCACCAACATCAAAGACCAAAGATAGATTAATCCATGAAGATGAGGAAAAACCAGCACAAAAAGGCTGAAAATTCCCAAAACCAGAAAGCCTCTTCTCCTCCAAAGGATCCCAACTCCTTGCTAGCAAGGGAACAAAACTGGATGGAGAATGAGTTTGACAAATCAACAGAAGTAGGCTTCAGAAGGTGGGTAATCACAAACTCCTTCAAGCAAAAGGAGCATGTTCTAACCCAATGCAAGGAAGCAAGAGCCTTGAAAAACAGGTTAGAGGAATTGCTAACTAGAATAACCAGTTTAGAGAAGAACATAAATGACCTGATTGAGCTAAAAACACAACACAAGAACTTTATGAAGCATACACAAGTATCAATAGCCAAATTGATCAAGTGAAACAAAGGATATCAGAGATTGAAGATCAAGTTAATGAAATAAAGCATGAAGACCAAAAAGAATGAAAAGGAATGAACAAAGCCTCCAAGAAATATGGGACTATGTGAAAAGACCAAACCTACGTTTGATTGGTGTACCTGAAAGTGCTGGAGAGAATGGAACCAAGTGTGAAAACACTCTTCAAGATATTATCCAGGAGAACTTCGCCAACCTAGCAAGACAGGCCAGCATTCAAATTCAGGAAATACAGAGAACACCACAAAGATACTCCTTGAGAAGAGCAACCCCAAGACACATAATTGTCAGATTCACCAAGGTTGAAATGAAGGAAAAAATGTTAAAGGCAGCCAGAGAGAAAGGTCAGGTAACCCACAAAGGGAAGCCCATCAGACTAACAGTGAATCTCTCTGCAGAAACCCTACAAGCCAGAAGAGAGTGGCAGCTAATACTTAACATTCTTAAAGAAAAGAATTTTCAACCCAGAATTTCATATCCAGCCAAACTAAGCTTCATAAGTGAAGGAGAAATAAAATCCTTTACAAACAAGCAAATGCTGAGGGATTTTGTCACCACCAGACCTGCCTTACAAGAGCTCCTGAAGGGAACACTAAACATGGAAAGGAATAACTGGTACCAGCCACTGCGAAAAATACCAAATTATAAAGACCATCAACAATATGAAGAAACCACATCAACTAACGGGAAAAATAACAAGTTAGCATCATAATGACAGAATCAAATTTACACATAGCAATGCTAACATTAAATGTAAATTGGCTAAATGCTCCCAATTAAAAGACACTGACTGGCAAATTGGATAAAGAGTCAAGACCCATTGGTGTGCTGTATTCAGGAGACCCATCTCATGTGCCAAGACACACACAGGCTCAAAGTAAAGGGATGGAGGAATATTTACCAAGCAAATGGAAAGCAAATAAAAGCAGGGGTTACAATCCTAGACTCTGATAAAACATACTTTACACCAACAAAGATCAAAAGAGACAAGGGCATTACATAATGGTAAAGGGATCAATGCAACAAGAAGAGCTAACTATCCTAAATATATATGCACCCAATACAGGAGCACCCAGATTCATAAAGCAAGTTCTTAAAGACGTACAAAGAGACTTAGATTCCCACACAATAATAGTGGGAGACTTTAACACCCCACTGTCAATATTAGACAGATCAATGAGACAGAAGATTAACAAGGATATTCAGGACTTGAACTCACCTCTGGACCAAGCAGACCTAATAGACATCTATAGCACTCTCCACCCAAATCAGCAGAATATACATTCTTCTCAGCACTACATAGCACTTATTCTAAAATCGACCACATAATTGGAAGTAAAGCACCCTCAAAATGCAAAAGAATGGAAATCATAACAAACAGTCTTTCAGACCACGGTGCAATCAAATTAGAACTCAGGATTAAGAAACTCACTCAAAACCACACAACTACATGGAAACTGAACAACTTCTCTGAATGACTACTGGCTAAATAATGAAATTAAGGCAGAAATAAGTAAGTTCTTTGAAACTGATGAGAACAAAGACACACTACACCAGAATCCCTGGGACACAGCTAAAGCAGTGTGTACAGGGAAATTTATAGCACTAAATGCCCACAGGAGAAAGCAGAAAAGATCTAAAATCAATACCCTAACATCACAATTAAAGAACTAGAGAAGCAGGAGCAAACAAATTCAAAAGCTAGCAAAAGACAAGAAATAACTAAGATGAGAGCAGAACTGAGGAAGATAGAGACACGAAAAAAACTTCAAAAAATCAATGAATCCAGGAGCTGGTTTTTTGAAAAGATTAACAAAATGGACCACTAGCTAGGCTAATAAAGAAGAAAAGAGAGAAGAATCAAATAGACACAATAAAAGATGATAAAGGGGATATCACCACTGATCTTACAGAAATACAAACTACCATCAGAGGATACTATAAACACCTCTGCACAAATAAACTAGAAAATCTAGAAGAAATGGATAAATTCCTGGACACATACACCCTCCCAAAACTAAAACAGGAAGAAGTCGAATCCCTGAATAGGCCAAAAACAAGTTCTGAAATTGAGGCAGTAATTAATAGCCTACCAACCAAAAAAAGCCCTGGAATAGATGGATTCACAGTCAAATTCTACCAGAGGTACAAAGAGGAGCTGGTACCTTCCTTCTAAACTATTCCAAACAACAGAAAAAGAGAGACTCCTCCCTAACTCATTTTATGAGGCCAGCATCATCCTGATACCAAAATGTGGCAGAGACACAACAAAAAAGGAAAATTTCTGGCCAATATCCCTGATGAACGTTGATGCAAAAAATCCTCAATAAAATACTGGCAAACCAGATCCAGCAGCACATCAAAAAGCTTATACACCATGATCAAGTTGGCTTCATCCCTGGGATGCAAGGCTGGTTCAACATATGCAAATCAATAAATGTAATCCAGCACATAAACAGAACCAATGATAAAAACCACATGATCATCTCAATAGATGCAGAGAAGGGCTTCGATAAAATTCGACAGCCCATCGTGTTAAAAACTCTCAATAAACTAGACGTGGAATGTATCTCAAAATAATAAGAGCTATTTATAACAAACCCACACCAATATCATACTGAATGGGCAAAAGCTGGAAGCATGCCCTTTGAAAACCAGCACAAGACAAGGATGCCCTCTCACACCACTCCTATTCAACATAGTATTGGAAGTTCTGGCCAGGGCGATCAGGTGAGAGAAAGAAATAAAGGGTATTCAAATAGGAAGAGAGGAAGTCAAATTGTCTCTGTTTGTATATGACATGATTATATATTTAGAAAACCCCATTGTCTCAGCCCAAAATCTCCTTAATCTGATAAGCAACCTCAGTAGTCTCAGGATACAAAATCAATGCAAAAATCACAAGCATTCCTATACACCAATAATAGACAAACAGAGAGCCAAATCATGAGTGAACTCCCACTCGCAATTCCTGCAAAGAGAATAAAATACCTTGGAATACAACTTACAAGGGATATGAAGGACGTCTTCAAGTAGAGCTACAAACCACTGCTCAAGGAAGTAAGAGAGGACACAAACAAATGAAAAACATTTCATGAATATGGATAGAAATAATCAATATCGTGAAAATGGCCATACTGCCCAAGGTAATTTATAAATTCAATGCTACCCCCATCAAACTACCAATGGCTTTCTTCACAGGATTAGAAAAACAAACAAACAAACAAACAAAAAAAAACGACTTTAAAGTTCATATGGAACCAAGAAAGAGCCCGCATAGCCAAGACAATCCTAAGCAAAAAAAGCAAAGTTGGAGGCATCATGCTACCTGACTTCAAACTATACTACAAGACTACAGTAACCAAAACAGCATCGTACTGGTACCAATACAGATATATAGACTAGTGGAACAGAACAGAGGCCTCAGAAATAACATCTACAATACAACCACACATCTACAATCATCTAGTCTTTGACAAACCTGACAAAAACAAGCAATGGGGAAAGGATTCCCTATTTAATAAATGGTATTGGGAAAACTGGCTAGCCATATGCAGAAAACTGAAGTTGGACCCCTTCCTTTACACTTTATACAAAAATTAACTCAAGATGGATTAAAGACTTAAATGTTAGATCTAAAACCATACAAACCCTAGAAGAAAACCTAGGCAATACCATTCAGGACATAGGCATGGGCAAAGACTTCATGACTAAAACACCAAAAGCAATGGCAACAAAAGCCAAAATTGACAAATGGGATCTAATTAAACTAAAGAGCTTCTGCACAGCAAAAGAAACTATCATCAGAGTGAACAGGCAACCTACAAGATGGGAGAAAATTTTTGCAATCCATCCATCTGACAAAGGACTAATATTCAGAATCTACAAGGAACTTAAACAAATTTACAAGAAA